GTACAACACCTGTTACTCCAAAGCTGAACAACTTAAGTGTAATTTGAAATGGGGATAAAGATTTGCCTCAGTCTTTTATCGTCATAACAAAGAATATTTTTCCAAGGAGTACATCAGTTTACACAGTCCCAGTAACAGCACACAACCCGTCCCCCCCCTCTCCAGCCGGAATATCGCAGCAAACACAGCGCGCTCTTCTTTTTAACAAACCACAACCGTGGCGGTACTCACCCACCAGACGACGGCATAGAAGAACAAGGTGAATTTGAAACACGCATAGGAACATTTGTGACAGAAACGGGGCCCGTCATTGTCTGTCATCGTGTCTGACACAAGACAAGTGAGTTCAGCGGATCCCTGTGCTGTTGTTGACAGTCCACTTCCGCGTTGTGATAGTAAGCACACCTGGAGCGCGCGCGCGCGCGCGCAGAAATGTGGAGTGGGTGTACCCTATGGGAGATTTTCAGGATGAAATTAGTTGGAAATTTGACCGAGGGGGAGTTTTACATTATAACATTTTGATACATTTACTGATACTTTTTTCAAATGATTGATTGGTTAGATTAAACATAATAGTTTTTGATCACTGAATACCAATATCCATTTTGAATGCGTTGAAAACCCTCTGACCAGTGGCGTAGCCAAGAAATTTTGGATCATTACACTTCCTCCTCGTTTCCTTTTTTGACCAGCTACAGACAGCTTATTGTAGGTCTGGCTGAAAAGTAAGCCATTAGATTGCTGGCCAACAAAGCAGCATATAAACAGTGCTACTACATTGTATAATACTGACGACACTTCCTTTAATTACTACAAAGTTTCACATATATCCCATTGAATTACCGTACCTTGAAGTATGGAATCAGGAATGTGTCACTCTATAAATTATTAAGATGTACAAACTATAATGACATTAAATACAGTAACTATTTTTGAATATTTTTGTTGTAGACATCTGCTCCAAAACTTGATTTAATGTGGAGAGGTGCTGTCAAAGACTCCTGTGTCCCAGGCTGACACTGGCAGCAGATTTTCAATTATTTCTGCATGATCAGTAGATTTTGTTACATAAGATACATAAGATGCCCTTGTGCAACCCTCCGCCAATGTAGCTCAGCTATGATGCCAGTGTCAGCTGGGACTGGCTCCAGCCCCCAGGCAACTCTCTTCATGATAAGTAGAATAGATAATGGATGGATAAAAAGTAGCTACCACAGACTTTATAGACTAAACACTAACTTAAAACCATATTAGTCTATGCTCAAGGCATGTACTTGTGCCCCCTTCTGGTGAAGTTTAGTACAGAGACATACACAATAAGACATCACAGTTGTGTTGTGTCCTAAAGAAGGATAGAACCAACTAGACAACACTCAGAAAGAGCAAACTTCCACTAAGGCAGACCAGTGTCCCTATAATGCCATTACACCTAAAAGTAATATTCAGTGGCCATGAAAATCTACCCCTAGCTTTTGGAGTCACATTAATATTAATATTAATTTCAAAGTTATTGAAGAAAAACGACATTTCATCAATGGCGATTTTCTTCAGGATCTAGCACAGCAACTGTTGAAGGTGTGTTGAAATCGCTGACCCTTTAACGAGTCAGCACAGTTTCAGCAAAAATTTGGTGTTAGTAACAAGTCTAAAGCATTATTTGCCCTCATAGTGCCTGTGGCCAGCCATTAGTGTGTGCAGTGTGTCCAGCACCACTGGTTCTAGTCGAGTCTTATCAGCAGCAGTTTAGCTGGGTTATTCCTTATTTATCACATCCAGCTTATCTTAACTTCCACAAGCAAAAGACCTTGGGCTGACAGTGCAAAATAAATCAAACCTGAACTGTTTCATGTTTTATCAGACATGCTCTTAATTTGCATTTTGAGACTGGCAAAACAGGTTAAGTGAAAATAGTCTTTAATTGTCTGTCAGTGACATTTCCTGGGAACACAGACTACTGACTACTGATTATGTGTAAAACATTCATGCATGTCAGTGGTTAGACTTTGTGGTGTGGTCAGGTGGTGCAAGTTTAAACAGAAGATGTGAGGAAATGTGAGTTGATTCAGCCATTTGTCTTTGTCGACGCTGGTCAGGAGTCATCATCAGTTCTGGACCCTGGATAGTCACCACTTGCCATTCTCCCCCCATGGTGCCTCGTGCTCACATTCACTCAGGGGACCACACATCTTAAGAACAGTTACAACAACTTAGTAGAAACTTTACATTCCCCTGCTTGTACCCTTCAGCATGCCCTTCACTATGCCCTGGTGGCCAATAGGCATTTGCGAGCATGTGAAAGTAAACATGCAGTGTATAATGTACACACACAAAGACAGAATGAGTTCAGTTGAAGTCAACAGACTTTATACTTTAAGTCAACCGCTGTTCTTTTCTGTGCAAACACATGTAAAAACATGCAGCAGATTTCTCCTGGGCGGTAAAAGAAAGCAGCCGAAAAGTATTAAATAACAGACAACAGGTGAGAATAAAAGCAACAAAAACTACTGTAGAAGAAAAGACAGATACAAATAAAGTAACTGCTATGACCAAACATCAGAAATGTGCACATTGTTGAAGCACAACAGGTATGAACATCCTTAGTGGCACCTTATGGTTAGTGATAAGGATAAAGCGTACAGTACATATTTATATTAACTCTTAAACACACATAGACTCACATACTGCACAGAACAACAGGGCACACAGACATGGACCTGAACTACACACAGACATTTTAATCATTTATTTAATGCTCACATAAGATCAGAGCACTGAGTCATCCCTGTTTTAGATGCCACAGCTCTAACTAACAGCATGCAGCGGCTTCTCCAATTGTGTGACTGCCAGAAACAGAAAACACTGAGCTGTACTTTGTGCAAGTGTTTCATCCTTCAGGATCAGCCCCAGTTTTCAATGCTGCAATTAGTTCACCATAAGATGAGAATTTTCAGCCTGTGGTGAACAGTCAGTAGGTTTCAAAATTACAAATATCACTCAGTGGAACATCTTTTTGCTTTGTGATCTCCATTAAAATGATAATGAATGTTGATATTGTGCAGATTATAAATAGTGTAGAAAACATCAAGTACAGCCTTTAAAAGCTCTGCATCGACTACATCATCTGGGAGGACACTGCTCAAACACAACCACCTGGAGAAACAGGAAACTTGCTAATGAAGAAACTCTCACCTTTAGCACCAGGCCCCCATGGATGCTTAGCAATAAGGTTTGACTTTTTCAGCCACATCACAAAAACAGCCCCACCAGGAGAACAATCTGAATGGAACCAAAATTTATAGTGCATCTACATCCACATGTCACAAATGAAAGGAAACCCAACATAAAGTGTCTTAGTGAGGTGCTGGAGCACCAGGTGCCACCAGAACAGTTTCAGTGCACATTGGCACTGATTCTGCAAGTCTGGAGTGATGAACCCCATTCTTCCAAAAGATATTCCCTTTATTTGGTCTTTTGATGCTCGTGGTGAAGATATTATCTAACACGCTGCTCCAAATTTTTTATACCTGGGTTGAGATCTGCTGATTGTGAAGGCCGCAGCATATGATTCACATCATCATCCCACCACTCAGTGACCCCTTGTGCCCTATGGATGGGGGAACTGTCATCTTGGAAAAACACTCATTTATTCAGGGTTTTCTCTTAGTGAGTCACCTGAATGGATAATGAAAGTGTATGTATAATCATAGCTTCAAAGAGCTCTTCATTCCCTTTGCAACAGCCAAGTGCCACAAAGGGTTGACCCTGAAAGTGCTACACATCACCCATCTTTGTGTGTCTTCTGTATGCTGTATAAAAAAGAAATAGAAGATAGATAATGAATTGTTTATGGGCAATTTCCCGGGAGACCACCACAAAAGTGCTTTAAATTTCAGGGGAGCTGGAAATTGATTACTTCTGTAGCAGCAGAGATTGGAGATGTGGCTCTCCTTTTTCCTTTCGATCCATTCTTAATACAGCTTTCTCATCTCACTGATTTGGTCTCTATTTCACTCACACTCTATTAATCTTTCCTTTGTTTTAGATGGATTCGTGCACAGCCAACACATTCTTTCATTTGCGGCCAGCGCCCCTCCTTCCCTTTCAGTATTTGAATTTCCACACATTTTGTTTTATATAAACACATTAACAGCTATTTTCACAGCATTTTTACAGCTCGTGCAGTGGCCAGGACCACAGCTGTTCGCCTTCTTTCCGCCAGTCATACCTGTTTCTCCCTTTATCCCTCTCTTTTTCTTTGTGCGCGTTGGCACGGGTCCATGCGCACAGTCGTGCGTCCCCATCACTCTCAGCAGGCTGTGCCATAATCAGGTAGTTACGCATGGAGAGAGAGAGACAGAGTGCGCACGTGTGTGTTTGTGTGCAAGAGAGAGAGAGAGTAGAGATGTCTTGATGGATTACTGTATGAAGCTATTTGTCCATTACGCAGGAGGAGTCTTTTTTTTTTTTACACATTATCAACTATGGATTGAACAAACTGATGTTAAAACTGACGACTCAACGGCGTAAATAGAGAGGTAAGCCAGTTGAAAGTCATAACCTGACAGAGATTTTGCTTAACATTTGTAGCGAACATCTTCCTCTGGTGCCGTTTCGTGCACTGGTTTATCACTTGTGCTATGCGCAGCCAAATCAGCCCGTTACTGTGTGTGTGTGTGTGTCTGCCAAATGTCTGGACCGTACGCGTGCTGGTTTATAATTCATTCTACTTCATAACAGTTAAAGCCACTTTTTGATGAAATGTGAGCTAAAACTAAGTTCTAATAGCTTTGTTAAACGTAGGAAATTGGCTATTTAAACTAGCACGTGTTGCTGCAACATTAGACTTTTAGGAAACGCTAAAACTTCACTCAGTAGTGATATCGTACTCGACTAGAGCCAAATGCGTTCACAGTGAAACTGAATAGGCTACTAGAAGTGATTACCTCAAATTCATAATTATTTCATGGTTCAAAACCTTGTAGAACAAAAGCACTTGGCTCAATAAAAAATCACGCTCAAAACGTTTTGAGAACACAGTACAGCTACGGTCAGTATAGTACCTGCATGGTTGCTGTCTCTTGCCCACAGGCATCAAAGAAACGTTATATAGCGTAGTATAAGTGCATAAAACATTTTTTTATCTTTGCCACTAAGAATGCACAGCAGATGGATTTAATCTATCTATCTATCTATCTATCTATCTATCTGTCAGTCAAGTCATTATGACGCTTGTTTTCTAAGGTCCAGTTGACTGAGTGTTATAAAATCACTACAACAATAATGAGGAAACTAATCAATTTTCATTCATAAATTCCACCTACGCTACCAGTTAAACGTTTGGACACATTTTCCCATTCGGCTCAATGACCTTAAATTTTCAAGGCATGAGGGGAACCTAGGTTTCTAAGATGAACGAACTTAAGATTTACAGTGTACAGTTAAACACAGAGTTTATGTCACCAGGTGAAGAGGGAGAGAATGGACGCGAGTCTTGCGCAACAGACCGAACTAACCATGGAGGTCACTTCATTGCCGTTATCAGCGACAACCGAGTGGCTGGAGGATGGAAATGAGACGACGGGGAATCAGTTCCAGCAGCCTGGCTGGCAGGTGGGAGAAAAACAACACAGTCCCAAATGAAACACACTGAAGTCAGAGCCAGCTCAGACTTATATCCAGCAGAGCCTGAAAGCATTTGATGCAAAATTTGATAAGAGACTGAAAGAAAGGAGAAATATTGAATGAATGAAACAGTGGATTTGATATTAACACTCAATAAATTAAATATAATCAAACTAACAAACAAAAAACACGATGCTTTTACAAATTAGATGTTTGAAAAATCTAGCCTTAGGGTAATATAGTCCTCAAGATGCTGAACAATATACAAACCTTTTGGTGACATCAATAATTAGAAACTCAAGTAGTCAAACAAATACAGTAACATTCAGTTCATTTGATTGGCCAGTGACTTTGTTATGTACCTCTTTCATAAAGACAAACCTAGTTATGTCAGATCCACAGATAGTGTGTTTATGGAGTTTAATGTATGACTTTTATTTGTTAGACAATTTACTGTTTTGATTGTCCTGCTGCCCTCTGAATTTGCTGACAATAACAGTGTATTTTTATTTATTTATTTTTTTCTATCCTCTCCTCTCCACCCCCCCCCACCCCACCCCCTTCTCTCAGGTGGCTCTGTGGGCTATAGCCTACTTACTCATTATCCTGGTGTCCATCGCTGGGAACATCACAGTGATCTGGATTATTCTTGCTCACAGACGCATGCGCACTGTAACCAACTACTTCATCGTCAACCTGGCCTTCTCTGACGTTTCCATGGCAACCTTCAACACTCTTTTTAACTTTGTATACGCACTTCACAACGACTGGTACTTTGGCCTGGGATACTGCCGCTTTCAGAACTTCTTCCCCATCACTGCCATGTTTTCGTCAATATACTCAATGGCTGCCATCGCAGTGGACAGGTGAGAACCTGCCTTACAAACTGTGCTGACCAAAACTCTAATTTTAACAATTTAATGTTTCTAATCACCTCTAGGAACCAAAACATGCAAGAAACCAAAAACATAACCTTCTTGGCAGAGGTAATAACACCTCTTCACTTTTTGCACATTTTACTGCATTGTAAATTGCATTTTTTCCATTTCAAAATAAATATACAACCCATTAAATTGTGGAAAACTTGAAGGGGCGTGGATACATTCTGAACCAACTGTATATGCTGTAAATTCTGCTCAAGTGATGAATTGGTTGGCAGCTGAAACTTGATCTTCACTTATCAACTAAGGATGTTGAGAAAGTTCCTGCCACCATTTCCAAGTTAGTATTTTTTTTAACTAATCATGGACCATTACTGCTTGATGCCACCAATGCTGCGTGTGATGATGTCACACCAGAGGCATGCAGGAGATGGATACAGCACGGGAGACAATTCTTTCCTTGTTCTATTGTCAGGGAGAAGATCAGGTGTGAGGTGGATAAAAACCTGTGGCCAACGAGGAGCAACATGATGCTCTGTGATTGGTTTCTTTCATGCTCCAGTCCTACTGACAAAACAGCCTAAGAACCTTGAATTAGTGTAAATGGAAAAATAGTTGGACTTCACTAACGTACAGATTTACTTTTGAAATATGAGCTAAAAGATCAAGTGAGGTTTATCTTTTTTGCTAACAAACAATATCGTTGTGCTGTATTTGTAAACAGTTTTGACTAATGCATATGAGAATGATAGTGATGTGAAGAACTGAGCCAAAGCTATTGAGTAATATTGTAATGCTTCCTGAAGCATTAGTGGTGTGTTTGTTCTTAAACTGCTTAACAAATGATATATACAGAACTGAGTTTACACTTTATCATATACAATTGTGCAAATTTCGATAATAAATACTATAAGCCCTTGTTCACTTTTTAGGCTGGAGTTAGCGGCTGTGCTGTTACAGGGGTTTCTAATGTTGTGTTGCCCACCCACATTTAGTACATTCAGTTCGTGTTGACCATAATGTCAACACAAACTGAGCATTATAAACTTAATAAAAACTAGTTTCATTATAGAGCATTTAATTATCGATATGCCGTGATGTACGTGGCATATGGTATGTGTGGCTCAGGACAGATGTGGTGATGAATGAGTCATATGCAGGAATAAGCCCAGTTGTTTAATCTGTTTACATCTCAGTAATCCCTCTTTATTGGAATCATCAGTTGGTGCATGATGACCTGAAATATTCTACCTACCCTTTTGAGGTGGGTCTGATGAGTGAGGCCACTGAAACTGAGAATGAAATGAGAACTGGTTGATGTAAAGCCTTGTGGGAATTATATTTTCCACAGGGAATTATTATAGAGAACATAGAGCTGTTCATTTTCTGCAGTGCAGTATGCCTCTGTAGAGTACACCTCTTTCATTAATTTGATCCCCTGCTCTTAAGCAGATAAAGGTATCAAGTCGACTGAATCTATGTGGTAAATTCACTAATATTTTACTCAAAGCAAAGTATGAGACCAGTGCTCAGTTTTTAAGTGTACGTTTTAATTGGCTTAAAGGTGAAAGGGGGATTATGGAAGAAGGAGCAAGGCCATACAGAGGAAACAAAGAAGAAAACAAGTCTTATGTCTAACTAGCATGAAACTGTGTTCCAGTCTCTTAAACCCTGACAGTTCATAACACTGAACATTCCCAGTCAAGATTCTATATATATTCAAAAAAGACATTTTCTCCTTTCAAAATGTAATTTAATATAAATTCGTACTATACTGAGAAATGTTTTTCATGAGGCTATTTAAAAAGACACTCAGCAAGAACTTGTTAATCACCTTGATGGAAGAGACATTGAACTGTCATTTCACAGCTAATGAATTCAGCAATGAGATTTTTGTTAACAGGACTTGACTTATAACCAAATGTGGTACAGACGTCCACACAGGCAGGAGATTTTAGAGGCACACTGCTTTCTTTATTCCTGAGAATTAAACATCAGATTTATGACTTTCTATCTGTAGATGAAGATTTGCAGAGTATATGTATAATCAATTACACCTTTTCCTTCCTTTTCAGGTACATGGCCATCATCCACCCTCTGAAGCCTCGCCTCTCCTCCACCTCTACAAAGGTCGTGATTGTTCTCATTTGGATTGTAGCATTTGCACTGGCTTTCCCTCAGTGTTACTACAGCGTGACAAGATTTTACTATCCCAGAACTGTGTGTATGGTCGACTGGCCAGATGATTATGGAGGAAAACATCAACTGAGGTGAATGGAAAGGTTAATAATAATAATAATAAAAAAACACTGACAATGAGGACGACACACACATACTTGTGCATATACTTTGTAGTTAAAGACATATAGTCTGGCTGTGTGAGTGATACATTTTACAAAAAGGCATATTTATTATAAAAGCATTTATATGGTGGCAGCAATGACTCATAGATCAGTATATAGCAAAGTACAATGAGCAGTTTTTTTTTTAATTCCATATATACATAAATATATTATTTCATAGATGTGAAGTTTTTTTTTATCTTCCAAAGACTGACAGTTTCTGTATAAGACACCATTGATTAACCACTTAGTAATATTTCTAATTGTAGGCTTAATGACTTTTTTCCCCCACTCCTCAGAATACTGGTTTTTACTCTTTATGCTGCATGCAATCATGTTTGCTCTTGTAAATGTTGACCAGTCAGTACATAGAACTGATATAAAAGTAATGTTAGCTATGTTAGCAGAGGCTACATACAATGACCAGCTACTTTATTAGGTACCCCTGTACAATTGTATGCACTTCAGTGCAACACTTCCACCTTAACGTCTGTGTTTATGAAGCTCAAGATGTTTCAGTTTTTGGGGAGATTGTCATAAATGTATAAATTCAATCATATGTTTATTATTAAGGTCATAGTTGAGGTGTTCCTAATATTCTGACCCTCTCGTGTTTGTAGCTAGGGAGGACAAAAATATAGAGACACATAGAATAAGTTAAAAACAAGACTATAGGTTAAGCGTGAGGCAAAAACTGGTCAAATGAAAAGTATAAAAAGCACATATTTGGGAGGTGGGAGAGTGTATTCAGAGCTCTCATAGCCTGGGGGAAGAAACGTTTGAGGACTTTGATTGAAATGCTTTCATATCTCCTACCAGAGGACAGGAGCTTGAAGAAGCTGTGGAAGGGGTTACTCATGGCTTTAGTGGCTTTGGGGGCACATCATGTCTGAAAAATGTCCTATAATGATGGGAGAAGTATGCACAATAAGCCGAAAATCAGAAATGATCAAACAGTTATAGGGAAACAACACAGATATTTCAGCAATGAGAGGAGTGTCTAAAAATCCCATAAATACTAACAAAAAAAAAACAGATGACATGCAAACAAACAGGCGTATAAACACACTGACAGTGTGTGTGACGGACACACTGACACTGACAATGGTGATGACGCAAGTCCTTAGTCTGTTTTTATTTCCATAATTTTATATGAGTGACCAGTTCTCTCTGTCTTTCTCCCTGTGTAGTTACCAGTTTGCAGTGATTGTGCTGATATACTTGCTCCCTCTGCTGGTGATGCTGGTGACCTACAGTTTGGTCAGCCAATCGCTGTGGGGTGGACACATCCCTGGAGAGGCGTCAGATCATTACCATAGCCAGATTACAGCCAAGAGAAAGGTCACACACTTCTGTTTTTCTAATGTCATAAAGTCTGGAAGTGATGCCATCACAGATACCTGGGCTAAATTTAGCTGACTTGGACTGGAATCACTTTTCTCTTTCTATAATGACCCATAGGTGGTGAAGATGATGGTTGTTGTGGTGGTGACCTTTGCCCTTTGCTGGCTGCCCTACCACATCTACTTCATACTGGGATCAGTTAACATAGACATTTATAAACAACATTACATTCAACAGGTTAGCAGCTGTCTTTCTGTCTGTTATTTCTTTCTCTTAGTGATTTATTTATTTATTCATTTGGCATCATATTTCCTGTCCTTGTCAGGTGTATCTGACCATATTCTGGTTGGCAATGAGTTCGACCATGTACAATCCTATCATTTACTGTTGCCTAAACCAAAGGTAAAATATATAAACTCCTCAAGTTCCACTGTTACCAAAACATGAGGTGGAAAACTAACTGTTCTCTCTGTCTGTAGGTTTCGTGCTGGTTTCCGTCATGCATTTGCTTGGTGCCCTTTCATCAAAGTGTCAGAGGAAGACAAGATGGAACTGCAGCACACACATGCCTTCAGAGTCACCATGACACGAAGCCACAGAAATAGCAGCTCCTATGCACTCACCTCCGTCAAAACAAACAACACCTTCGACACAAACTTGGCTGCCACCAGTGAGCTAAACACAAAGAGAGAGGCTCACGTGAAGCTTAAAAAACACACATCAAAAACATCCAGCACACATGTGGTGAAAAGGCAGGGTGATGCCAAATCATCAGCAGCCAAAGTTATGAAGAACAACCGCTGACAACTGAAGCAAATGATGAGGAGGACATTCTGAATGGGAAGGCACCAGGGGTTTCCTATAGCCAAAGCTGATTAAAATAAAGATGGCAGTAAGAAGCGGCAGGGGAGAGCCTGCTGACTGCCAACCAGAGTGGATCAAACTATTGTGATGGGCATCCATATGGAAAACCAAGGAAAAAGAAAGCCTCTGTTCATTGTACCCTGGACTTGGGACCATCAACTTTTTTTTTTTTTTTGACAAAACTGAATCAATGTATATCAAACTGGTGGATGTTTTGCTATTAATGCCAGAGTGGTCAGCATACTGGACAACAGGAGAGACTTTGTATTCTGGCATTGTTAGTATTTGCAGTAATGTATAAGTCTGAGAATAAATGCACACATCATTTATTTTTTACTTGATCCCACTCCCCTCAGTCCATACACATTAGATTTTATCTGTGGTTACTGGTTTTCTAGTGCAAAGAATAAATGGACAGATGACTGGCATCAGCACTAAGACTTAATATTTTTGTGTACAAATGCTGATGTATGTTTTCTCCTTTTGACTGTCCTGATCAGTGGAACTATTTATGTTTTTTCTTCACCAATCAATGTGTACACAGTGCTAATTAAAGTGAAGTTACGCTCTCTTTATTGGGGAAAAAATATATCTCAGCCTTGTTGATATTCAGAATTAGCACCCAAAGAACAGATTAGCTCTTATAGTCGGTCTGGGTTGTCCATATTGATGACTTTATTGAAAGACTTTATGAAGGTGACAGCTCTGTAAGACCAGATCATGTGATTCTGCTCCAACAGCTCTATGGCATTCAGCATTTGACAGAAATTCAAACAGACAAAATGTACTTCTGAAATGCATGTCTGGTTTGCAGCTGACATATAGATGATCCTGACTGTGACTTTATGTGGGGTGGCAGGACCAACACACTGCCGAGGGCATTCCCTGGAAACAAAAAAGTGTAAAAATGAATATCCACCAGCTCTCAGAGTCAGTGAGGGAGCCACCTCCTGCTTCTAACATACAGGAATGTATTATTATACATTTTGAATGTACATTCATCCTTACATTGACCTTATTTCACAGACTTGGCTGGATCTCCCCCAACATGTACTATCTGTTACTGTACAGTATGTTTTTTTTTTTTAATATCAGTGACATAGTGCACATATGTTACTCATACTGTGTCACTTCACTGGTTCATAAAATATTTTGTATTTTTTATGGCTGGTGTACAGTAGAGTACAGCTCCAACAATGCTGCTAATTAGAAGATGCTGATGTGAAATATAACATTGCCATCTACTGAGTATATTAATGTAAAATTTTCTGAAGATGTAAATATAGAACTTGTGTCTGTTCATTACATTTACATACTGTAGCATGTCAGTGTTAACATTTCAGAAGGCAGCCCTTTTGATTCCTTGTAAAAACATTTCGCCCTTTAAAATGCAGTGACTGTGCAACATCTGTATTTGTTGCTTGCATAAAACATCAGGTCAGGTGTTTGGACCTAAAAGAAAGAGTCAAAAATATGTTTAATAAATGTGACAGTGATAATAAAACGTTGTTGCAAGAAGTTCCCAAACACTTATTTTGTATCCAGCAACAATGGGCCCTTTTCACAGTGATGTCAGTTAACATGACCATTCCAGGGCCAAGGTGTATGACTGTTTCACTGTTTATGTGAAAAACTCTCTCTTTATAAGCTAAACCCCTGAGCACCGTTATTCTTTTTTTCCTTCTTAGTTTTTATCATCTGTAATCCTCTTATTTCCTATTTTAACAGGATAGCTTTCAACCTGTTTTCCTGCTAATTTCTTGTAAATTGCTATCTCATATCATTTCAATCTAAATTTTTGAAAAAGGTTTTGTTGATGTGCACATGACTACTTGACTTTAAACTGTGATAGCCACCATTATGCTTTTGTCAGTAGCTCCAGTGTGGTGGTGTCATGCTGGAGTTTTTAGGTTTTGTGCTGATGCGGAGGAAGTGTAATGCTTGAGAGCACAAACTAATGCAAACACAGGGACTGCACACCAACAAAGAACTGCAACATCAGATTTACACAGGTTTGTTTTTATTTAGTGAATAATCAATAACATTGAACAAATACAGTCTGGGGTTAGTGAATAGACTGAGGTGCCTGTGTTTTTCTGATGGGATTGTTTTGACTGACTTCTGAAGGCAGGGCAGCTTACGACCTGCTGGAGAAAGCAGGTTTTCTTTATCCTGCACTGAGTTGTACCTAGAAATGGAAATTCAGCTAGCTTGCAGTGTCATTGCTGGGCTTTGTTAGTTTTAGCTACTGGTTGGACTGGTGCTAATCTGTGCCCAAAGTTGTGGTTCACAAAGGTTGCAGTAAAAGGTAAAGATCCTTGCACCACAACTATCACTGTACCCTGTTCTACCTGACGAACCTGCACGGTTTTCATTTTGAAAACCACTTGTCAAATAGTCTAGGATTTGTTCCTGTGAGATAAAAAAAAAAAAGACAGCCTAGAGTTAAAAATAAAAACTAAATCTCAAGGAACTGCCAGTGAAATGTATTGTATTGTATTAAATGGAAAAATAAATATTGAATTTTCAAGAATTTAGCTACTTGAATGAACTCTAAAGCAGATCCCCTAAACACCCTCCTGGGGCATTAGGAGCACACGGAGTACAGGAACTGAGAGTATGGAGAAGGTTTAGTTCTAAATGTTTCAAGTTCCCTTAAAGTTTCAGTGACTGTAATAATCTTTGTTGTTTTTCTGGCATCTATGTTAGCACCACATTCCTATTTCCTGGCTGTTGCTACTGTAAGCAAATGTTAGGTTTCATTGAGATGTTTGCCAGCACTTCTTAAAGCTACAGTATGTGGGTTTTTTCAAATATGTTTGTTGTAGAAATATGCTCTAAATCTTGTCTTAATTTGGAGAGGTGCTGTCGAAGCCTCCTCTGACCCAGACTCATTGAAGAGCTCTGGCAGCAGCACAGAGATATTAGCTTCTAAAAGGTTTTGAGCGGGATAGACCTGTCTGGCCAATCAGAGACTTTCAGTTATTTGTACTTGAACAGCAAGTTTTGTTACATTCTCATTTCTTCAGTATTCATAATGACAAACATCTGAAGAGCTTGGCAGTGTGGCAGAACATAGTAGAGGGAGTGAAGGGCGGGGCAGAGTGGGTTGATTTAGAGTTTCATGCTAGCGCTACCTTAAGAAACATACTGTAGCTTTAAGGCAACAACAAACTATCAATAGCTTTATTTAGTACCAGCAGCAGAATTTCTACTTAATGAAAAATACATGTGATGTTTGGACATATTTTTACAGTGGAGTACATTAGAGAAGAATAAGACTGCAATATTAAACCAAAATCTGCAAATCCTTGCAGGAATCCCTCTCTTTTTTCTGCCCTCACTCACAGGACCGGTATCTCTGAGGGGACTTTGATGATGGCTTCAACTTTGTGCATCATTATTGCAACAGTAATATTGTTCAACACCTCCCAATATAAAAATAAAATAAATAGCAACAATGCATGTATAACATATTGTATTATGTCAGGGTAAGATCTTATAAACCTTAAAGCAAAAATATTTATCTCATTACACATGTATATATCACTTCACATGTCTTCTTGTACAGACAGCAAGAAGCCTACAGCAGACAGTAGACACACTTTGGTGACTTTCATTTAAAACAGTTTTTATGTTCCTAGATCTGCTCTACAAGTTGCAAATATCAAAGTTTAAAGTTTTTTTCTGGAATTTTTTAAAATGGTCCCAGAACTGTTGTGCTAGGTTCTATTATAATCGACTGCAGTTACTGGAAGAATCCTTCAGGGGGAGACACAAGACTATCACAGAGTGTATGAAGTTTTTTTTTTCTTCTGTCCTGCACATTTATCACAGGATCTAAAGTTCTTGTTTTATCCCTAAGTTTAAAACCAGAAACCAAAAAATACCAAAACCTGTATTGTATTGGTACAATGGTTAATCAGAACTAATCTAACTACAGCACAGTGGCTGACTTTCTGGTAGTTAAAGCAGCTACTGGAGCTTGATCTGTTGAATGACCGAATTTGATTTGGGAAGAAAAGGAGACAATGGCATGGAAAAGAGTAGAGGACAAGAGTAGAGGAGGAAGTGGAGTGATAACAGCAAGACAGAAGAGATACTTTCTATTTATTGTTCAGCTCTTGTCTCAGTCGGCAGCCCACAGCTGTGATGAGTGCAGCTCCTTTCCCACTGCCGTCCTCTGACAGCAGAAAGTTGACATTACACTTAGGAGCCAGTTCTTTAACTGTCTGGTGCATAATCCCAGAGAAACTAGATGGAGACAAAAGATATGACATGTTATAAAGGGAAGTGAATTTTTTTTTTTTTTACCAAATTAGAAAGAAAAAGAGTTAGTCTAAATGTAACTTTGAGGGGATACAGCACTAACACTTCAGCGGGATCATGGTTTACTGAGGTTGACAAACTCGTCTGTTCCACCTTTAACAGAGTGAACAAAAGTTTGTATGTGCAGGTTTGGGACAGGCAGGACTTTCCTGTCTTAAGGGACTAGAGCTGACATTGATGTAGAACACAGGATGTAGAAAGTATCCATCTGACCACAGGTGTGTCTCTTGTATTTTTCAACTGTCAACCCATCTCATACTTAATTAACTTACAATAGGGCTCAACATAATCTCGCAATCTCTCATACAGGTTTTGCTCAGCGGTGTTAATGGATCATCGGGTTCTGAACATTTGTTACATTCATAGACATAAAATTTACTTCATATCAGACCAGTGCATGCCATCAACAGCTTAACTAAGCAGTGCCATATTTTTTGTTTGTGCACAGTGTATGAAAATGGAAGCCGTCTTATTTTGCCTGGGAATACACACGTACATGTACTGTGGTATGAAGCCACTTGGTAACATACTGTACAACAAAATACAATATGGCTGATCTGAGCAAACAACAAGACTGATAGATCCAGCTTTTTTCTTTCAACAATATGATATCTTTTCAGGCTGTCAGGTGGCACCCCACTGCCGCCAACATCTGTAGTGAGGTTGACTACAGAAGAAACTGCCATGACAAATTTAGTAGCAAACAAAGACCCTTGTCTGTTCAGGTGTAGTGCCCTGCAGCACTTTTCATCTTTGTTGTCCACAACTGGTTGAGCTTGTCTGTTTGTAAATGCTTATCTTCTACATAGTAACTTCTGCCACAGAGGGGGCCATTATTCAAACACAACTGTCATGTAAGCAAAGTGAATGTGTCATCAGCTGAACTTAAAATGCCATTACACTAGTCAGTTCATCTCCTGACTAAATGGCCTGGTCACCACCACATCTCTTCTTGATTTCTTATGCACTTCAGTAGTCAGCCAATAGTTTTGTATGATGGATTACTGATGAATTAACTCACTGTGGATGTAGTTTGTAGAGTGTCCCGTCCACCCCTACAGTGATGTTCAGATGTTCCACTCCTCGGTTCTCTCTGATCTTGTCGACTACAGCTGCCATTCCTG